TTAGGATTTCATCATCATCATCATCATCAGGGTTAGAGTTTAGGTTTTCATCATCACCGTCATCATCATCGTCAGCATCGTCAGAATGCGGCTGCTACTACTACTACTACTACTGCTACTGCTACTGCTACTGCTACTGCTACTGCTACTGCTACTGCTACTGCTACTGCTACTGCCACTGTTACGACGACGACAACGACGACCACTCTTGCCATTGCTACTTCCAAGACATTTCAGTTTGTTTGTATTGGCTTGTAGTAACTAAACCCTAAACCCTAAACCCTGTTTAGCTTGTGTTTTTTGAATTAGGTTGTGTTGCAAGAGGGCTTGTCGCTCGAAGAGAAGGAGCAAGGGGACCTGCCTTTTCCATGATCCCCCTTTCAAGGGATTGGTCCTTTTGGTACAGGCCCTATAGGTGTGTGTTTTAAGATGGGCTTATTTTCCGAGCTTGTTCCAAGGGGTCTTAGGATTTGATATTGTTTGCTTGTTTGCGCGGGGCTTTCGAGGCTTGGGACTATTTAGCGAGGGTTTAGGAGTTTAGGGTTTAGTGTGGTTGAGGGGTTTAGGGTTCAGGGTCAGGACGTTTGGGGGTTTGGGGTTCTTGTCTTCTAGGTTCAGGGCTTAGGGGTTGGTGTCAAACCGGGTCTTACGATGTGATACAGCCCTCACGCGCTTAGCAAAGGATCCGAAGAGGCTTTCAGGGGCCAGCACAGGGTAGAACCGTAACAACTCTGAACCTTCGAAACGGTTGAAGTACCTGGGTATTGTAGAGGTATCTGGTGTGCTGTTTTGTGGGGGTACATTTGACTGTTTATGAGCCCCTACACCCTAAACCCTAAACCCCAAGCCCTAAACCCTAAACCCTAAACCTAAACCCTAAACGGCCTAAACCCTAAACCTCTGGCGGCTGTGAGGATGGTGACGCAAGTGCCATGGTTCTGAGGTGGTGTGCCCAGCTGCAGGGGTTCTGCGAGGATTCAGGGTCGTCAAGAATGTGGGGTTTCGGGTTGTCCGGGGGGTTTGGAGTTTCTGGACTCAAGATTTTTTTGGGTGGGTTTTTAGGGAGCTGTGTTCAACCACCCCCCCCACCCCCCAAAATACACCCTGCACTCCGAAACCCAGAAAAACCCAGAAACGAGAAACCCCTAAGCCCCGAAACAGGCTTTGGGGTTTAGGGGTTTAGGGTTTTGGGGTTTAGGGTCCTTAAACCCTAAACCCTGAACCCTTAAACTCCTCCCCCTCTTAAACCCTAAACCCGAAACCCCGAAACCGGGGACCCTAAAAGGCCAAGCCGGACAGCCAAGGATTGAGTTGATGGCGGCCAAGGATGCGGCGCGCTCGAGGGTTCGGCAAAGCTTCTTTACGCTTTACATTAGGGCTTACTGGTAGGGTCTAGGGTTCAGGGTTGAGTTTAGCCGCGGGTTAGGGTTTAGGGTTTAGGGGTTTCAGGGTTTGGGGTTTAGGGAGTTAAGCCCCAAACCCGAAGCCCGAAACTCTGAACCTAAACCCAAAACAAGGCTTCTGTAAAGGCTTGCGGGTGCCAAGTTCACGGGGCATGTCGACGGCACGTGGGTGTTTCAGGTGTGGTGGCTAGGTGAAGCCATAACCCCAAACCCTAAACCCGAAACCGTAAACCCCTAAACCCCTAAACTCCTAAACTCTAAGCCGTGGCCCTAAACCCTGAAATCCAAAGACCTTAAACTCATGTTTTTATAAGGTTCAGAAAGGTTTCCGCAAGGGTTTGGGTTTCGGATCGTGGGCGGGGTTCGGGTTGTGCTTTGTGGATGTTGGGCTTTAAGGGTTCTGCAGGTTTAGGATACCCTGTCTCGCGGTTAAGGCTCGGTTTAGGGTTTAGGGTTTGGGGTTTAGGGCGGTTAGAGTCTTCAACGGTTTGATTGGGATGTCTTGGCGGAGGCATCTTGCTGTAGGTTTGTAGGGTTCAGGCTTTTCAGCCAAAACTTGCGAGAAGCTCTCAGAAAAGGTCGCGGGACTGTCGAAATCCCGTGGCAAGCGCTGCAATCAAGGGACTTCCGTGCCTTGTGAAAAATTTCCACAACCGGTGCTCAGACACGAGACAATCAACACAGGGATTTCCATGCTATTGACAGCGTTTGCTTCCCAAACAGCCCAGGGTTGCTCAAGCCGTTGTTCTTTTTTTTGCACGCCACCTAAAGAAAGACAGACATTGTTGAACAGTGGAACCCAAATCGAGAGAGGCCTCCCCCAAACAAGAAAGCCCGTCTTGGGCCCCAAACTACGGTGGATGATGTATATCCTGCATTACCCATAACAAGGAAGATGCCATAATTCCCCATGCTCGGTCCTTCAGGTAATGCAGGATTTATATCATCAACCGTAGGCCGTTAAGCTCCTAGACTTGAGCCGGACTACGTTTAGCCCACAATTAGTCCAGTAGACTCGAGGTCTTCGAGCCCTTGCAGCCGGACTCACCGCACCCCTCTTGGCGTCATGCCATCTTCAACGAGCCCACCGGCAGCCAACAGAAGTCTCGTCATCATTGCCCTACACCCTAAACCCTAAACCCTAAACCGTGTCTATGGTTTTATGCCTGTCTCCGGAAAGGAATCTAGCATTTCTCGCATTACTAGGACTAGTGTGAAGACCAGTCCCATCGGTGGTAGCGCAATGGTTTTAGGAACGTTGACAGGTTGTGACAGGGTTTCGGATGCATGTATGGTTTATGGCACTAACTAGTGCATAATACTGTTAACGAAGGTTCCTTGATATTTCTATTGTACGATGTGCTTCGAAGCCTTGTTCCACTTATTAAGGCCTTGTGTCTGTTTGTTCGCATCCAAAAGACCTAACACCAAAACTCCAAAGCCCGCAGCCCCAAAGCCACTTCTTCTAACGTGCGCAGACGGCTTTGTATGTTTAGGTAACAAGTCACGACTATGGTGGCTCTTTTTTCCATCCTAAACCCTAAACCTTACACCCTAAACCTAAACCCTAAACCCTGACCGTATACTCCCAATATACTAGGATTCAACAAAGAATCCTAACAAAGACCCCATGACAATGGGTTTCTTAATCAGGGTCCTGTATTACTTGGTGTCTTTCCTGCGCCATTGATTGGATAAGGATCTAAGGTTAGGGTTTAAATTTAAGGTGCTTTTTTTGAGGTTTTTAGGGCTTTGGGGTTCAAGGGTTCAGGTTTTAGCATGGGGTTTAGGGTTTAGGGTTTAGGATTTAGGGTTGAGGGTGTAGGGTTTAGGGATTTCAGATCCTCCACTGTTCCAGCTTCTTCTGTAACTATGCGTGGCGTCCAATAGTTTTGTTCGGGGAATGCTAAACCTCAAGAAGTGTAGGCCCGAGCAAAATACCCATTGCGCAAGGCGAGGAAAAAAGTCTTAACTCAAATTAAGTATCCTTCTATACCTCAGGGAAATGTTTGAGCTCCGGAGTAAAACAGCGGCCCTCCCTGAACAATGCCTAGAACAGAGATCTTAATGCCTACGGGTTTATTCAGCTGCGGTCTACATTGATCCCCATACCCGCAAGTTTGAAGAAGACTCGGAAAATGGAGCCCGAACAGTTTTTTCTCAAAGCGGAGCCAACCCCTAAACGTCTGAGGTATGGAACGCACGACAAGAAGCTTTGAGGTGAAAAAAGGAAAGCATCTCGTTGGGTTTAGGGTTCAGGGGTTGCGGGATGAGCCTTCGGGGTTGAGGCTTTCACAGGGTTGAGGACGTGGCCTTGAGGTGTTCAGGGCTTAGGTTTAGGGTCTAGGGTTTTTTTGCTTTGGGGTTGAGGCTTCAGGGGATTTCGGGCCCTATGCTCTTCAGCCTCGGCTTGTCTAGCTCTTTGCTGGGACTCGAGCGTGTCAGGGGCTTACAAGAGGAAACCCGGAGCCCCAATGTCTGTGATTCAAAAAGGCGAAGGCTTAGGTTCAGGTTCAGGTCTTGAGGTTCGAGGTCTTACCCAAGCCGCCCTGTCCTAAATCCTAAGCCCGAAATCCTAAACCCTAAACCCTAAATCCCTAAACCCTAAACCCCTCTAAACCCTAACTCCTAAACCCAAAGTCCCAAATCGAAAGCCTTAAAGTCTAAACCTTGAATCTTAAGTAAGCCCTCGTCCGTCCTGCATGCCGTATAATGACCCTATCAAACGCGCTGCAAAGCGGCCTCGAATTTTGGAGACACCCTTCATCCATCTCCTTGAGCGCTTCCTAGCCAGGCATTTTTTCCTTCAGGGGGATTAGGGTTATTTTTTTGTGTGTGTGTGTGTGTTTTTTTTTTGCTGCTTTTTGCGCTTTCTGTTTCGGGTTTCTTATAGGGGGTCAGGGCCTCGGCTTGGTCCTTTGAAAATGACGGACAGCATGCCACTGCCAGCTGCTGGTTCAAGACGTTCTGCCCGGGAATCTAACGCCCCCCAAGCCCCCAAGCCCCCTCATCCGCAGACGCCCAAGCCCCTTCAGCCAACCCTAAACCCTAAACCCTAAACCCCTAAGCCCTAAACCCCTAAACCCCTAGACCCCTAAAGCCCTAAGCCCTCAAACCCCTAACGCCTAAACCCCTAAATTTTTAAACCCTAAACCCCTGAAGCCCTAAAGCCCTCAACTCCTTAACCCTCAAACCCCCCAAGCCTGTGCTATGCACCCCGAGCTTGGACATAGGCTGCCCCCTAAACCTCCCCTCCTGGCCCTCGTCTTTCGGTTTAGGGTTAGGGTTCCCTTAACAAGGAACAAAAGCTATAGCCCCAACTAGGTTCTTGTTCAGGGGTTTTATTTCAGTTACCATAATAAGGGAAGCCATATTATTTGCTATAGATCCCACTATGGTATCTTAACTTAAATCCCTTAACAAGAATCCAGAAAAGACACCACATCCTGGTCTTTCGCCTGATTTTGGGGGTCTGGGTGACTGGTGAAAGTAACCGAAAGTGACCCCTTGTGCACTGCATACACTTGTACTGCATTTTTTTTCCCAGGGGTTTGTGCAGTGAAAGCGCGAATCCCCAGTTCCAGCTTTGGACATCGCATGGCGGGCATAAATGCGGAGTTGAACGACGAGCACGCCGACGACGCGACATGGGTCTTGACCAGCAGCTTCTGTATTTTGACGATGCAGAGCGGCTTCGGGATGCTGGAGATGGGAAGCTCGTCGAAAGGCCACGAAGTAAATATCGTGCTCAAGAACATCTTCGATGTTGTTTGTGGTGCGATGGCTTACTACATGGTAGGCTATGGCCTGTCTTATGGTGAACCTGGGCGGTTCATGAGTATTGTATTTTTGTCAGTTTTGTACGATGCATTGAACGAAACATGTACTCTAAACCCTAACCCGAAAATCCGTAAATCCCGTTAAGAACAGCACAGGAACCATCAAACTGGTTCGTGGGTCAGGGCGATTTCTTCGTGGACGCCAATGATGGCGACCACATGGACACGGGACTGATCCACAGCAGGCGGCTACAGCGTGGAAATCCGGGCTGTTGGGGACGGTGTATGGGGTTTAGGGTTTCGGGCTCCGTATGAATAGTTGGTTTGTGCACCTAAATCCAGAATCCTCAACCCTGAACCTCCCAACAAAACACCCTCAACCCTAAACCCTAAACCCTTCTGCAGGTACATCTTTCAGTTCAGTTTCGCTGCCACCTCGACGACGATCGTCAGCGGGTGTCTTGCGATGAGATGTCGTTTCCTGGTCTACTGCTTCTATTCGTTTCTAGGTTGCCGAGTAGTACCCCTTTTGCACTTTTTCTTTTTGGGTTAAGGTTTTAGGGTTTAGGGTTTAGGGTCCCGAGTAGTACCCTTTTGGGTTCCCTTATTCACACCAAAGAGTAGGAAAAAAGGGTACCCGGTACCCTTATTATTAAGCGGCTACTGGGGAGCCTAGGTTTTATTCTGTCATCGTGTATGCCTTCGTGGCACACTGGGAGTGGGCCCCTAATGGCTGGCTGAAGCTAGGCCGTTCTTGAGCATGACTTTTTCCGATTCATTTTTTGTGAGAGGGAAGAAGCATCTCTTCAGACTTCGACCGAGGCATTGTTGAACCCCTAACTAGCCCACCCTACACCCTACACCCTCAACCGTAAACTCTAAATCCTACACCCTAAACCCTAAACCCTACACCCTAAACCCTACACCCTAAACCCTAAACCCTACATCCTAAACCCTAAATCCTAATCCCTACCCCCTAAAAACCTGAACCCTAAGTCCCCGACTCCAAGCCCTAAGCCCCTAGCAAGCAAAAAGCCAGAGACTTTCCTCCGAGGGCTTCGGGTCATAGCCCTAACTGGATTCTTGTTAAAGGGGGGTTTAGGGTCTAGGGTTTAGGGGTTTAAGGTTTAGGGTTTAGGGGGTTAAGGGGATTTATATAAGCTACTTTTTTCGGAAGCCAAATTTTGATGCTATAGATCCCCATTATGGTAACTTAAGTTAAGCCCCTTAGCAAGAACCAAGGAAATGCAGCCTAGACCCTAAACCCCAAAACCCCAAAACCCAAAACCTTAAACCCTAAACCCCAAAACCGTAAACCGTAAACCCTAAATCCTAAACCCCAAAACCCTAAGCCCCAGCACAAGCACCCTAAACCCTAAACCCCAAAACCCCTAAACCCCAAGCACCCTAAACCCCTAAACCCCAAGCACCCTAAACCCTAAACCCTAAAGCGGAACCGTCGCCCAGGAAACAACTGGGTGTGCACGACTTCGCCGGGAGCGGTGCTGTGAGCCTTCTGGGAGCCATGTTCCCCGGCCAGGTTGAGGGTTCAGGGGGTGAGGGTTTAGGGTTTGGGTTTGAGGGTCTAGGGTTTAGGGTTGAGGGTTTAGGGTTTGGGGTTGACTGTTTGGGGTTTAGGGTTTCGGGTTTAGGGTTTGGGGTTGAGAGTTTAGGGTTTAGGGTTTAGGTGAGGGTTTAGGGTTCAAGAAAGTACGTACAACTCCCGAGACCCAAACCCGAATTCAGGAGGCAAGGTGTGAAGCCTTAGGAAAGTCTCCGGTCAAATAAGCGTGGTTGGGGGTAGGGTTGAATTGGGGGCGACACTTGTCCAACATGGACTGCCGTAACATAAGGTCATAAGGACCCTCAGGGGGGTATGGGGGGAGGGGGCAGGACGCATTAACACCTGTAACAAGGACTTACTAATGCCTAGGTCAGGAAGTATAGTCCCCTACTCCCCTCCCCCTTGCCCCCCTAAGGGTCCCTATGATAATGGCAGCAAGCGCCCACCCGCACCTTACGGAGCCCTCGATGCTGGAGGATTGAACGTTTAGGGCTTTGGGGTTCAGGGAGCTTGGGGTTTCTTGTGGGGTTTAGGATTTAGGGAGCTTTGGATTTGTTTTTTTATGTTGGCGGTTTTTTGGGCTGGAGCTTTGGGGTTAGTCCGATAAAAGCCTAGACCCTAAACCCTACGGTTGATGATATAAATCCTCTTAAGGATCCTAAACTATGGGAGTTATGGTAGATTCCTTATTATGGCTAGTGCAGGATTTATATCATCAACCCCGGTACTTGGAGGCCCAGGGGACTTAGTAAGTCCGTCAAAAGTAGGGTTATAATCAGGGTAACTCCATTTAGGGTACCTATAACTCTACTTATAATTCACTTACTAAGTCCCCTGGGCCTCCAAGTACACCTTAACTCTCCCTAAAGCCCTAAGCCTAAACCCCTAAACGGTAAACCCCTAAGCCCTGGATTTCATGCAGGAATGGTCTCATCGGTATCCTGTGGCTGGGCCCCAGATTGGGGCGCTTCGATGGGACCCGCCTCTCCACGGACTTTAAGCCACTTAGATGGCCATTGGGAGAACCTAAAACTTTTTAGGTTTAGGGTTTAGGGCTTAGGGAACCTTATGTATTTTTTGTCTGTGGTTGGTAGTTTTTAACATTTTTTTTGGGCCCCGGTTATTGGAGAAGAGAGGCCATCTTCTCCGACGACCATCCTCTTTGGATTGTTCATGCCACTTCCTGCAATAGCTAGTGTCAGTGGGTCTGCAATCTAAAAGCCCAAAAAATTGCCAATACTATTTCAGGGTTCCTTCTTAGGGGTAAACTATACAGGGGCCCAAAACCGTATTTTAAGTATTAAGGCCCCTTTTTGTTCGAGGCTGGAGAGGTTAGCGGTTTCCTTAACCTGGGTTCTTGTTAAGGGGTTTTTACTTAAGTTGCCACAATAAGGAAACCATACTATTTGCTGTAGATCCCCAGTATGGAAACTTGAATTAGACCCCTTGACAAGAGCCAAGGAAATGCAGCCTAGGCCTAGACCCTAAAGCCGAAACCCTAGACCCTAAACCCTAAATCCTGCAACCCCTAAGCCCCTAACCCCTAACCCCTAACCCCTAAACCCTAAACCCCAAAACCCTAAACCCTACACCCAGGCTAGAGAGGCTAGCGGTTTCCTGAACCCCCTGGGCCCGGGCCCAGAACCCCGGCACCTGAAACGCAAGAACTGAACCGGGGCCAACTAGAGCCCATCGCAGATTTAGGGGAGAAGGGGTTTAGGGCTTTTTTGGGTGGTTTAGGGTTTAAGGTTTTTTTTGGTGGTTTACGGTTTAGGGGTTTAGGGTTTTTTTTGGGGGGTGAAGGGTTCTGTTTTCGACTGTAGACCCCAGAGTAGGTACCAGTGCTGTGCTCGGAGACGGCTCTGGTGGCGGTGGACGCCGAAACCCCAAAACCACTAAGCCCCAAAACCCCAAAACCCCAAAACCCTGAAACCCCAAAAGCCCAAAACCCCAAAGCCCCAAAACCCCAAAACCCCAAAACCCTAAAACCAAAACCCCTGAACCCTAAACCCTAAACCCCAAACCCCAAAAGCCCAAAAACCCCAAAAGCCCAACGCCCTAAGACCAAGGCTCTGGTGGGGGTGGATTGGCTTCAACTGCGGGAGCTCGTTTGGAATCACAAAGCTCCTCCTCTGCAGCCCGTGGGCTCCCTCTAAGGGGGTTTAGGGTTTTAGGGTTGGGTTTAGGGTTTAGGGCTTAGGGTTTAGGGTTTAGGGTTTAGGGTTTTAGGGTTTAGGGTTTAGGGTTTAGGGTTTTAGGGTTTAGGGGTATCAATCCTACTAACCCTACGCCCTAAACCCCAAAAGAAGCCTTGAACCCCCTATAAAATAAGCCCTAAAGAGAAGCCCTTGTGGTCTTCGGCTGGGTTCTTGTTAAGGGATTAGCTGCCATAATAAGGAAACCGTAGTATGCACTATAGATCCCCATTATGGTAACTTAAGTTAAGCCCCTTCACAAGAACCAAGTTAAGTTGCCTTAGCTTAAGGGGGCAAGGGGTTTCGGGTTTAGGTTTCAGTTGCCTTAGTTTGAGGGGCTAAGGGGGGTTTACTCGGTTTTAGGGTAACTGTAGGGTTTTGGTGTAGAGGGCTCCATGGTCGGATTGGGGCCGTTGGCTGTAGTACGTCAGCATAGTTTAGGCGCGCCAGATACCGCTAAGGATCTAAAATGACAAGATGGCGGATTTGGAGTCAGCGGCACGTCTTCTCTCTTGTGCTTGTGTTAGATCCTTCTCTGCTGCAACGCCTTTACAACCGTTACAGTATCAGATCCTTACAAACGGCGTATACAGCAAATATCATTTTAAGTACCCAGAAAGAGACTTGACCCCTTCATGGAAACCCTAAACCCTAATCCCTAAACCCTTGTATTAGGTTCAGGGTTCTAAACTCAGAACCTTTGGACTTTAGGGTTGTAGGGTCGAGAGTTACGGGCTTCCCTAGAAATCCGAAACCTTAAACCGTTCAGAAACCTTTGCTTGGTTCTTGTTAAGGGATTTAATTTACGTTTTCATAATGGGGATCTATAGTAAATAATATGGTTTCGTTATTAAATTATGGTAACTCAAATAAAACCCGTTAACAAGAACCCAGTTTGTCCCACTTCAGGACCAAATGGCTCGTCGCGACCCGTGCGGGCGTGGCCACGCTGAACGCTACGGCTGGGGGCGGCTTCGCTGCCTTGTTCTACACCAAGGCTCCCAGAGAACTCGATTATGGGATTCTGTGGGTTTAGGGTTTCCGGTTTCTAACCCCGATAAACACCAAAGCACTAAACCCTGCAACCCTAAATACTGTAAACCCAAAAACCCTAAACCCTAAATCTAAAGCCCCATACCCTAAAGCCCGAAAGACCGCAAGCCCCAAACCCTAAACCTTGAACGCTGTACCCCAAGCCCTAAGTTAAACCCGTAATCCCCAAACCCTACACCTTGAACGCTGTACCTAAACCCGAAGCCCTAAGCCCTAAATCCCAACACCGGTTTAGGAGCAAAGCTCCCACAAACACCCTAAACCCCTAAAACCTAAACCCTAAACCCGAAGCCCTAAACCCTAAATCCCAACACCGGGTGTAGGAGCATTCCTTTATGGGTTCCTTCAAGGGATCTATAGAGTTCCGTTAAGTGATCTATAGGGTTCCTTTAAGGGACAGCTCCCCCAAACACATCCGAGCAGAGGCGAAGTCCAGAGGTGTGCTGATCTCTCCGGAAGAGATGCCTGGAAGGTTAGGGGGGGGGGGGGGTTTTAGGAGGGGGATTTAGTTTAGGGTTTACGTTTTTTTTTTTTGTGGCTACAGCTTGGTTATAGTTTTTTTGTTGGTCCCTTTGACTGTTGGCTTTATAAATCTTGTAGGTGGGCCTTGGAGAGATATGTTGTTCTTCACCGTCTGCTTTGGTTTATGGGGCTTCTGGGGCGTTTAAGAGAGTCAGGCCTTTTCCCCAAAAAGTCCAGACCCTGCAAACCTCTGGAATGTGAAACCGATCTTTTTTCACGGTTTAGGGTCTTGGCCTAGCAAAGAAAGGCCCCTAAACCCTAGACCCTCAACCCTGCGCCGCTTCAGAGGATTGCCAATGGACTTCTGGGCGCTCTTGTGGCCATCACAGCCACCTGTGCCTGTGTTCACCCCTATGAGGCTCCCCCGACGAAAATTTTGAGCATGGAAGGGCCTTAGGGCTTAGGGGCTTAGGGCTTATATAGGGCTTAGGGGTTTAGGGTTTAGGGGTTTAGGGTTTAGGGTTTAGAGTTTAGGGGTTTAGGGCTTAGGGGTTTAGGGGTTTCGGGATTTGGGTTTAGGGTTTAGGGGGGCTTGAGGGGTTCAGGGAAATGAGGGTTGAGGAGCTTCAGTGCGTAACCGTGCGGGGGCATGTTTTGGTCTATAGATGTCTTTAGCTTCTCGGGGGGTTTGGATTAGGGAACACAGCGCGCTACTTTGATCCACTGGATTCCGCATGTCAAACCCTTCATACCTCCTATAAAGCTTTGAGAAACCATTGAACTTCTAAAGCCTGGTGGTCCTATTAAACCCCCCAACACCCCGAACCCTCAACCCGGACCCAAACCGCTTGCATATAGGGGCCTGAATTTGCAAATAGTATTCTTTAGGGTTAAACTAGAGCATAACCCCGAGGCCCTAATCTAATCATTAAGGCCCCAATGAAAATAGGGCCCTAACAGAAACCACTGTTTTCGCGTTGAGGCTTTAGGGGTTTGAGGTTAAGGATTTAGGGGTTGGGCTTTGGATTCAAGGTCTAGGGTTTGGGGTTTACAAGACGACGGTAATATTCGTCGGACCCTTGTACAGTGAGGTAAACCCTTATGCCCAAAAACCCTCTAAACCTTACCTGAACCTTGTTGTAAACCCTGAACCCCAAAAGCCTTAAACTTAAACCCTACTTGGAGGTCCAGGGAACTTAGTAAGTCAGTTATAAGTAGGGTTATAATGAGGGTAACTCCATTTGGGGTACTTCTAACTCTACTTACAACCTACTTACTAAGTCCCCTGGGCCTCCAAGTACACCTTAACTCTATAACCCTAAAGCCCTAAAGCCCT